CCTTGATCATTATGTAGTGTCCTTCCTTGTCTCTTGTAACATTCTTTATTTTAAAGTCGATCTTATCTGATATGTGTATTGCTGCCACAGGTTTCTTTTGATTTCCATTTGCATGGAATATCTTTTTCCATCCCCTCACTTTCAATCTGTATGTGTCCCTAGGTTTGAAGTCAGTCTCTTGAAGACAGCATATATACGGGTCTTGTTTTTGTATCCATTCAGCGAGCCTGTGTTTTCTGGTTGGAGCATTTAATCCATTCACATTTAAGGTGATTATCGATATGTATGTTCCTACTACCATTTTCTTAACTGTTTTGTGTTTGTTTTTGTAGGCCCTTTTCTTGTCTTGTGTTTCCCACTTAGAGAAGTTCCTTTAGCATTTGTTGTAGAGCTGGTTTGGTGGTGCTGAATTCTCTTAGCTTTTGCTTGTCTGTAAAGCTTTTGATTTCTCCATTGAATCTGAATGAGATCCTTGCCAGGTAGAGTAATCTTGGTTGTAGGTTCTTCCCTTTCAGCACTTTAAATATATCGTGCCCCTCCCTTCTGGCTTATAGAGTTTCTGCTGAGAAATCAGCTGTTTACCGTATGGGAGTTCCCTTGTATGTTATTTGTCGTTTTTCCCTTGTTGCTTTTAATAATTTTTCTTTGTCTTTAACTTTTGTCAGTTTGATTACTATGTGTCTTGGTGTGTTTCTTCTTGGGTTTATCTTGCCTGGGACTCTCTGCGCTTCTGGACTTAGGTGGCTATTTCCTTTCGTATGTTAGGGAAGTTTTTGACTATAATCTCTTTAAATATTTTCTCCAGTCCTTTCTCTCTCTCTTCTCTTTCTGGGACCCCTATAATGCGAATGTTGGTGTGTTTAATGTTGTCCCAGAGGTCTCTTAGGCTGTCTTCATTTCTTTTCATTTTTTTTCCTTTTTTCTATTCCGTGGCAGTGAATTCCATCATTCTGTCTTCCAAGTCACTTATCCGTTCTTCTCCCTTAGTTATCCTGCTATTGATTCCTTCTAGTGTGTTTTTCATTTCAGTTATTGTATTGTTCATCTCTGTCTGTTTTTTCTTTAATTCTCCTAGGTGTTTGTTCTTTAATTCTTCTAGGTCTCTGTTAAACATTTCTTGCATCTTCTCAATCTTTGCCTCCATTCTTTTTCCGAGCTCCTGGATCATCTTCACTATCATTATTCTGAATTCTTTTTCTGGAAGGTTGCCTATCTCCACTTCATTTAGCTGTTTTTCTTAGGTTTTATCGTGTTCCTTCATCTGGTACACAATCCTCTGCCTTTTCATCTTGTCTATCTTTCTGTGAATGTGGTTTTCGTTCCACAGGCTGCAGGATTGTAGTTCTTCTTGCTTCTGCTGTCTGCCCTCTGGTGGATGAGGCTATCTCAGTTTCCTAGTTTAACTGGATAGAAATCAGAATATTCTAGGCGACCAGAGTTTTGATTTTTTTTGGAAAGAGACTAAACACACGTAACTTGACTCTACCTGGCTGCAGACAGAGGTCAGTGGCATGTCTGCCTGCCTTGAACATTTGACCTCCCCAGAAGCAATATAAGTACCACAAAGAACAGGGAAGGAGGTAATAAAATCTTCCAGCGCATGGAAATGTCCTCAGGGGATGTGGCATGGCCCTCATTTGAAGCGTGTATGGTGGCTTTTCCAGAGAAGTTTGGGTGTAAGAGGTCAGAAGTGGGTCACCGTCATCACAGTCATTCCAGTGCCGACCGTGTGCTCCGTGAGCTGCCTGTGATCACTGGCTCACAACTCTTCTGTCCCGTGTTCCCGTTTGCCCTTTACTTCTAAGCAGGTTTGTATTTAAACCTCATTATGTGCTGGCTTTTAAGAAAAGACAGCAGAAGGAAGCAAGATCCTTTTTAATTTTTAATGAACCAGGTGAAGCTGGCTGAGTGTCATTCACCTTCCTTCAACATAAGCTCTCTCTCCCCAGGACCGTGGGTGAGACTGTGAGGCCATCCTTCCGTACCGTCCTGGGGATGGTCGGACATATGGGCGGACAGGAAAGTGAGTGACAGAACGATACTTCAGGGAATAACTGTAGACATATTTGACAAAATCCACAGCACAGGAAAAGAATGCTGTTTTTAGCGAGGATCGGAGCTATGCTGACGACAGTCCAATGATCATTAGTCACAGGCAAAGTTATATTTGATATGCTGGGTTGGCCAAAAAGTTCATTTGGGTTTTTCTATAACATCTTACAGAAAAATCCAAATGAACTTTTTGGCCAACCCAATATTTAAAAAGATGGCAGTTCCCTTTTCAGCTAAAAGTGATAGAGAACTTCACATGCAACCTTGTTTCTCCATGTTTCCTTCCAGTAGTCTTAGCACTGAGGCCTGAGCATTGGTCTGTGCTGTGAAGTGCCGCCAACCTGGAGTCCCGTGCAAGGACTGGTTCCATCAGGTGGTGTGGTGTCACAGTGAGGCTAAACGTTGGCTTGATACGCTCATACCAAAAGCTGATGTTCGCAGGGGAGCCAGTGTCCTGGCTCAGAACGTCGGCTTGGTGGGCCCAGGAGTAGAAATATGGACTGAGTATACCGGTGTTCAGTAGAACCCTCAAATTTGGAGTGTGTGAATAAAACCAGTTTAATAACAACACCAGTATCAAAGTAAACATCAAGAATAGGATTTCACCAAATCCTTTCATATCAGCTGTTTACAATATAATTGCTAACCTAAAAATAATGATGATGGTAATAATAACAGAGGAGAAATCTGACAGCCAGAAACACAGGACAACATGAACATTTACTAATATCCACGAGTTCAGAGGTAACTCTATATGCTATAGATTGCAATTAGCTTTAATTGACTGAGCTGGAAGTATGTTTTACTATTTCTTTAGATTTCTAAAAGAAGTGCTTTCTATTGTAATGGTGTCAGGCACCTGGTACCTCAACACATTAAAAAACACTGGAGTGTTTTATAAAATCACCAGCCACAGCAATAAAATGGCAAACGGTAACCCTGAAGAAAGTCTGCCTTGGGTCTTAGACTGTGTCTTAAAATTTAATGCAGGCAGTGAAATTGCTCACACTTTGTCAGTAGTTATTTTTCTTTTGTTTTCAGTATTGAGAATGTTGGGATTAAGTATATATTAAGATTGATTTGCCTTCTGGAATGTTGTATACTCTTATGCCGCAAAGGCAGTTTTAAAGAAGCAATAATTTCACATTCTACTATTCCATTAAGCCATACTAATTGAAGATATGTCATATTCCAGTCTCTGATGATTTCCTCTTTTTTATAATTAATTAATTAATTAATTTTGGGCTGCATTGGGTCCTCGTTGCTGTGCACGAGCTTTCTCTAGTTGCGGTGAGCAGGGCTACTCTTCGTTGCGGTGCGCAGGCTTCTCATTGCAGTGGCTTCTCTTGTTGCGGAGCACGGGCTCTAGGCGTATGGGCTTCAGTAGCTGCAGCACGCAGGCTTCAGTAGTTGTGGCTCATGGGCTCTAGAGCGCAGGCCCAGTAGTTGTGGCGCATGGGCTTAGCTGCTCCGCAGCATGTGGGATCTTCCCAGACTAGGACTCAAACCCATGTCCCCTGCATTGGCAGGCGGACTCCTAACCACTGCGCCACCAGGGAAGCCCTCTGATGATTTCTTAAAAGGAGGAAGATTTGATTAAAGTTAGCATGGTTACCATTAAATTAACAATCAGAAGTATTTAGATCAATTAACAATCTTTTCCCCTTAAAAGATGAGGCCATTGTGTGTTCTCAGGCCCATGACTCTGCTGCAACTCAAGGTGTCAGGTACTGAAGAGGCCACTGCTTTGTGATTTGTTCTGTATGTTACTCCCTGATGTTTTGGAGGCAGAGAGGGGAGACGAAAGAACTGTGGAAACATTAAAGTTTATTCATGATTGTGTGGTCAGTGTCCCTGTCATGTCCTCTAGGACGTGATCTATTGGAGCCAAGCAAAGAATATTCTTGGGAACGTAAGTCCACTGGCCACCGCAGGGGCTCTCTGGGGGTGTCAGGTCTGTCTGAGCCTCATGCTAGAAGTACAGCCGATCCGAGGAAGACTCTTGCTTACCCGAGGGTCTGGGACCGTGATGCAGTGCTTGTCTCTGAGCTCTTTCCTGGGCCTTTACGCCTTAATGCTTCAGCCTAATAATCTTAAAGCCTCCCCAACCCCAGGCAGAATTTCTGGTTCTATCCTCTGTGCACCCTCCTCAACATACACCCCTAACATTTGCCCGGCAGGAACCGGATCTCAGAGGCTTTGTGGGCCATGTAAGGAACGAGCACTTTCTTCTTACTGCAGCGGAGCGTAAGGAGTGGAGGGAGGGGTCCACGCGGGCCATGGGCTCTTTTCTGTTTATAGAGATCATTCTGGCAGCTGTGCAGTGAAAGATGAGAAAAAGCAGGGCTCCCGTTAGAAGGTGAGAGGTTATGGTGGCTGGGACTGGACCTTCAGCCGTGGAGGTGGTGTGAATGCTCACATGCAGGGCATGGGTGCTGTAGGAATTTAAAGCCAGAAATCCCTGCAGCAGAGGTCATCAGACACGTGACTTGAACCTGACATTAAAGAAAGGGTTGAAGGGAGGGAAGGGCATGTAGGCATTACTCCCCGATGCCCAGTGAAAGAGTTGCTAGGTGTTAACTCTGACTTCGACCTGGATTGACTGAGTGATTTCCCATTAGACATTTTCAAAGAGGAATCCCCTTGAAGAAAACAAAAACAAAAAGCACAACTGCTCCAGTCTCTCTAAGCAGACCTGGAAGAAATGCAGGCAGCTAGAAGGAATTGGGCCATTTTGTCTGTTTCTCTTTTTCCCAAGCCTGAAACCTTGCACTTCAGACCACATCAACAGAGCCATATTTAAAGTCCCTGTTTTTAATTTGTAACACCTAAAATGACAAATGATGGGCAATTCCTTGTCAGCTACTTGATGGAATCCTTCGGTCATAAGGAGCGGTTGTCACATTCGGGCTGAATGTTTTCTCACAGGTGACTGTTTTTCTTTCTAGGATACCCCAAGCAGAGGCCCACGGCCCCCCGCAACGGGGCCTCCCCCAAGCCGGACCCACAGGCCCGAGAGGCCGAGCGGCAGCTGGTGCAGCGGCTGAAGGAGCGGTACGAACAGCAGGCGCGGCAGCTGGGCCTCGTGCAGGGGGAGCTGAGGAAGGCCGTCCGGGGCTTTGAGGCACTCGCCGTGTCCACTCAGCTTTTCTTCAGGAAGGTGAGTCCACATCTGGTGAATGTTGAAGGGCTTTCGGTTTGCGGGGAGGATGGCGGTGGTGACGGTTGTTGTGTGTGTGTGTTTCAGTTCGAGTTTGGGGTTAGAGACCAGTTTGATTTTCAGGTCATACAGCATCTCCGCCAGCACTGCGTAATGTTTTGGGTACCCAGTTTAGACTTGAGCGTGGAAGACATTAGTCTGGGAGGAAGGATCCATAACCTGGACTGCAGAAGGGAAAATTGTGTAAAAAAGAAGGGAAAGGGTATAAATGAACGTTTAGAAGGTGAGGTCTTGGAAGAGAATGGAGCATGTGATTGTTTGCATTTTAGACCCGAGACAGCCAGGGTCTGAAATGTCTACACCTTTCAGTACAGAGGGAGCCAGGGTCACAGAGCGGTGCCACTTTGGCTGTTGAGGGGACCTGGAAGGTGCCGGGCTGGGGCCTCTCCTCGGGGCCACGCTCACAATGCGTGCGGGACAGCATGGGGTAGGGGCGTCCTCCCTGCCCCCTCGGTTCTTCTGACAATGCAGAGAGGCTTGGTTTCCTCAGCCTGAGTGTCCAGAGGCTCCTGGGCCATCCGGACTCCGAGTCTGTTACCAGCAATGGTGTAGTTTGGCTTTCCTGCCTCTGAATGTGAAAGGGCGGTGGTGGGAGTGCGGGTCTGTCTGACTTTGTGCGTTCGTGCTCCACCTTGAGGTGGCCAAGCCCTGTTTGGGGGAGAACTTGAACATTTACCTTTGAGGTTTATACATTATGAGTTAGCACATCAATAACCCATAAGGCATTAGTTTCATGTATGGACCTTCCGGTATCTGTAAATGAAAGTAAAAATGCTATATAAATGCCCCCCAACTAAGAAAATGAACTAACTAAATTTCTAACTCATTTAAAGAAGAAAATCAGAAGAATATTAACCAGCACCATGTCTGCTGGTTTTCTTTATTATCTGTACCGTGAAGTGTGGAGGGCTCTCTGACCTTTGACGATAGCCTGCAGCCTCTCTTGCCCTACAGTGTAGAAGCCTGAGCTGACCTGTTCTGTTGTTTCTTTTTTTGCTTAAAGCTTTTGGCCCAAAGAGCTAATTACCAAGTTATTGTTGTGATGAAAGACAAGACAAACAGGTTTCAGTTTTACCAGTAGTTTCTGCCTCTTCCCTGATCAAAGTGTTAACACCAGCAGTAAATGGCCAATTTGAATTTTATGTCTTCCCTTCTGGTCTAGTACCATTGGGGTCAACCTTAAAGAGCTGCAGTTGCTGCGTTCTCACCCCTGTAAGAATTAAAGTTACAAACACATTTTTGAGGTGCCAAAGGGGCCAGACTTGTCGTGGTAAATATTGAGCATTTTTCTTATTAGACAAAGAGTGACGTGTTTCCCGTTCTTCAGCTGGATGTGTATTTTCCACTGACTGTGAAGTCTTTAATAAAGAGAGGAAAACAGCGTTGTTCGTTGCAGTTCAGTGATAACATTTACTTTGTAACTCTGCCCGCTCTGGGATTGCACCTTCCATGCGTCATCCAGCTTCACGACAAATCCTTGATAAAGGTTTCGTGTGGATAGATATGCCAGCAGACATCGAATTAACACATTGGTAACATGCGCTGTGTTTTCAAGTTGGAACTTTTGGACCCCATTTACGGCATCATGGCAGAGAAGAGAGTTCCTGTGTTGAATAAGGGTCGGTTCCCTGTAGTGATGCATTTCTAGGCCCCAGGAAAATCCCTTGTGGCCCATGGACCACGAGTTTTATTTCACTGCAGCATACACATGGCTCTTCAAGCAGAGACCCAAGGGCAGGTGATTTGTAGCCATCTCCATCAGACCCCCCTGCTGGCTGGAGCCGCACTCGGCATGACATTTCAGCAAGACGGATGGTGGGCATGAATTTCATTTTCTTTGCAGTAAGTCACAGCCAGCAGCTCCAGACAGGCCTCCCCAATGGCCATGGCATTTCACTTCCCACACAGTGTGTTCTTCTTTCCGTCCTTCTGATCTCAACTCTTTCTCCAGAGACCCCTCAGAAGAAAAAATGGACATTTTTAAAGTCTGCAGTTGAACATAAGTGGCTTCCACTCAGGCTGGCATGTGTTCTACATGGTTTAAGATGATTGATTTGAGAGTTTGCCAGGAATACCAGACTAGACCAGGGAGTGTGACCAGAGTGGAGCATGCGGGGAAGTGGAGGCCAGGCAACCTGGGAATTCTGATGATGGGGCCCCTACTACAAGGGCTCATGATCCTGAGATGCTCTCATGACCCGTGTCCCTCCTGGGGGAAGCCAATGCATTATTATTATTATTGTTATATATGGGGCAATGGTCACAGCCCAGCATGGCAGCTGTGCAGGGCGTGACCTCCACAGCCAGCCTGAAAAAGCAGTATCTCTTTGCTCTTCTGCTTAGAAGACCCTGCTGGAACTCTACACCTGTATCTTTTCTACGCTGTAGCATATTCGTCTACAAAGCAGGTATAGTGGAGAGAGGGGGCCATGCCAGCAAGGAGCCGGTCCCACCTCCACCTCCATCTTGCACGAGACCTTGAGCGAGTTGCGGCCCCTCTTTGAGCCGTGACAGCATCACCAACGGGAATACGTCCTTGCTCCCCTCGGCTTCCCGCTGCAGAATCACCTCTGATGAGAGTCATCTTTGACTCTCAGTTTCCTCAGTTTCAAATAGGTTTGATAATAACTCTTTACAAGGTTATTGTGAGAATGGAGTGAATTAATGGGCAAAGGTGCTTTGAACAAATATTCAATAAAACATTCTTTTTGAGGACAAGGAAAATGTGACCAATATTTTACTCTCCAGCAGGTTGAATAAGACATATGTGAGGAATGTAAAGCTGAAACACAGACCACACCCCTCTTATTTCATTTTATGTATATAAAGGATTTGGCTTGGGGTGAACTTTAGGAATAGAAATAATCTTCTAGTCCAGCTGTTCAGCTGCTGCTGTATATTTTTTCCAGAATGTGCTGATGCTATTAAGTATGGGAGGTCACTAGAAAAAGGAATTCGGAGCCTGGATAGGGATCTGTCATTTCTGCCCCATGTTTCACAGCTCCTGGCAGGGCGGCTGTGAAAGTTGTCAGCTGTGGTACAGCCTGAGCCCAGCGTCCAGGGATGCTAAGATGCCACATTTAGGTGCCAACACCTACCTCACGCTTGTGCTCGTTCCAGGCGGCTCTGTTCCCCCTAACAAGGCACGGCCCTCACCACAGGCCAGACAGCTGTGCTGAAATCCGTGGTCCCAGACCTCTGGGGGGACTGTCCTAATAAGTGTGATTCTTAGGGACTCTCACTTCTCAGGGTCAAGTTGAAAGACTTTTATCTTTTGCTGCCTGGTTCCCGGGAACGCTACTCTTTGGCAGCCCCTGTCGGCTAATCCAGGAGATGGTCCTGTATTAAGTGGTGTGCCTCGCCCTGTAGCATCAAGCTTTACACAGGTTACGTCTGAGGGTGTATTTATTTTCGTTTTAGTTTTAATCAGATTTATTATATTTATTCGATATTTTTTCATATTGGTTTGTGTCATTTTTATCATTAACTTTATGAATGTGATAGACGATGGTTTTTAACTATTTTTTATTTATTATTAAATAGCTTAGGCCTACAAGGCATGAGAATTTATGTCAAGCATTTGTGTACTTTCTAAGCTTAATCAAAATTAATAATGCATCAGCTTCCTTCCCCCTAAAGTGTATATATACGAATGTATATTTTTTTCTTTTACTCTTTGACTTTTTATCACAAAAATATATTGAATAAGTGTGGAGAAGTGTGGAAAGAATAACACCTAAATACTCATCATTTAGGTTTAATACTTAACGACATGTTTCCGTATTCACTTTATCTATGTTTTTTTAAATATTTACTTATTTATTTCTTTATTTGGTCGTGCTGGGTCTTAGCTGTGGCATGCAGGCTCCTTAGTTGCGTCTCGCCAGCTCTTTAGTTGCAGCTTTAGTCCCATTTTATCTATGTTTTTGTTGTTAGTTAGGGATACCTATTTTTAAATATAGTTCATATACTTAACTTTTCATCTTTAATTCACTTATGTTAGTAGATTTTTATCAACACTGCCCCGACCATATGAAAGGTTCTGTGGAGGGTTCAAAAAAGTAGAAGGCAAAGCACCTTAATAACAATATCGCTCCTGTTTATTGACCATCTCCTATGTCCTAGACACTTTACATATAGTATTTTAACCCACCCTGGTGTGGACATTATTCTCATGTGACAGTCGAGGAGACCAAGGCTCAGGGAGGTTATATAGCCTTCCAAAGACAACAGAATTGGAAAGCGATGGAGCCACAATACAAATGCAGGTCAGCCCGTATCCACCCCATATTTTTCCCACAATATTGTGGTCGTTTCTCTCTCTCTCCACCCAGCCTTCAAGGTTTTGATGTAGTTAAGGGGGAAGAACAAAATGTGAAACAATAATCTAAAAGTTAAACACATGTAGAGGATGCTTAGAGAAAATGATCTAAGGTAATAGTCAACCTGAAGCCACAAACAAAAATGGTGTATGTTCTGGTAGAAGCCCAGCACTGTGAGTGGGAAGGGACGCCCTGGGAAGGAGACTGGCAGGGGCCGGGATGGAGAGCCGGGTGGGATTATTGTGAGTAAAGAGGAGGGGGAGCATGTGTATGGGCAGAGGACAGTCCAACCTGGTTGTCTGCAGAGTGGTGGCCCCTCCTTACCTTGAAGCCCAGGGTAGATTAGTTAATGATTTGAGGATGGAGATCCAGGGACTCGGAACTGTTTTTGGAAGTGCAAAGGTTCCTCTGTAACAGACGGCAGTTCCTCTTGGTGAAGGTGGCCCAGATTCACCTTCCCTGCTCCACAGCGGCTGCTTGCATCCAAGCAGGCTGTGTAGAATCCTTTTGGAGAATAAATGCATGCTTGCTTGCTTTTGCCATTTGATACATTTGCATGGATCATCGGATGAAAGTCTGCCCTAGGGCCCCAAAGCAGCAGAGAAGCTGTTGTATCCA